TGACCGCGGGAATGACTGGCTTGCGCCCCCAGCCGCGGGCCGCGCAGCTGCTGGACAAGGACGGCACGTTCCTCAGCACCCTGGAGCACTACCTGAGCCGCCACCTCAAGGACGTCCGCCAGCACCACGTCAAGGCCGACAAGCGGTGAGGCCGGCGCCTGGGCCCATTCATCCCTGCTGGTCCGGCCGGTGACCCAGGGGCTCGCGGACCGCAGGCTTCCCGAACCTTCTGCCGCACCCGCACCCGCACAGGGCCAGGCGGAGCAAGTACAGGACAGTGGGTGGGCAGCCACGTTGTGGCTCAGACAGGCAGCCAGAAGCTCTGCACCCCGTCCTGGGCTCCTGCGGCCGGGCTCCCACCCTCTGCTCCTGACCTGGCTCAGCGAGTCCTACCCCGCCCCTGGAAGGCCTGCACAGAACAGTCCTTCCTGTTAGATGCCACTGAGTACTCTCGGCTCAGTCCTTCCTGTTAGATGCCACTGAGTACTGCACCCCCCATTGGGGCTGGGGTGCACCTCGGGACTTGGCATGGAGGCAGCGTCCACGGGCAGCCAGCACCCCCAGACTGCTGTGCACCTCACTCTGGCCTGACAGCGTCCTCCTCCTCCTGGACACTCAGTTTTCCCAGGGACCCGGTCTGGGCTAGAAGCAGCAGCCGGGGCTCAGAGTGGACCTGCAGCCGAGGATGCCGGCTCTTTATCTTATTTCGTGTTAAAGTTTCGGTGTAGGGCAGGTGGGCTCCATGGACAGAAACAGGGAGAGTGAGAAACCGCCGCAGGGGGACGGCCACTCCGCAGTCCTCTCCCCGGTCCCCAATCCGGGTTTGGGCATGCCCGTGCACCCGCCTGGTTCTCTAGCCACCAGGCCCAGGGCTCAGCGCTCGGCCGGCCATGTGGGGTTGGCTGCCAGCCCCGCACCTCCAGCAGGCCCCCACACTTAGCGATAGAGTCATTTTCATTGCCAGCGGGCATGTGTGTTTGCAAGAGGGAGAGGGGAAGCCCCTCGGCTGTGGTCACACTGCAGTCCCCTCCTCTCTGTCCTGTCGGGGTTTGGGCCACACACAGGGTGCTTTTCAAGCTGCCTGACCGGATTTCGAGCTGTGGTTGGCCACATGCCACCTGGCTCCACTAGGCCATGGGCCAGCCCGAAAGAGGATGTTTTGGGGCCAGCTGGTGGTGTGGTTACGATGGCTGGATCCAACCTGGCTGGCTGCAGTTCGAGCCCTGGACTCGGTGGCTTGAAAAACACTCCCGGGGACAACAGCAGGCATCGTTCCTGGGCAGGGGGGCCCAGGGAGGTCTGGTCGCTGGGCAGAGGAAGGTGGGACCAGGCCAGGGGCCGCTCACTCAGGAGGCGTTCTCTCCAGGGACCCCGAGTTCGTCTTCTACGACCAGCTGAAGCAGGTGATGAACGCGTACAGGTGAGTGGGGACCGCCGAGGGGACAGCCCAGGGCACCCAGGGAGCTGGCGGGACAGCTCGGCCCCGACCCACGGTTCCTGTGTCTAGGGTCAAGCCGGCGGTCTTCGACCTGCTCCTGGCCGTGTGCATCGGCGCCTACCTCGGGATGGCCTACGTGGCAGTCCAGGTGCGCCAGGGCGGGTGGGGGCGGGGCTGGCCTGCGTGGCCGGGCCTCACTCACCCCGCCGCAGAGGGGTCCCTGTCGCTCCAGGACCAGGGGCCGTGTCTCCTCTGAACTGCCTCGGGGGAGCCAGGTCCAGGGGGACGGCCACGGCTGCCCGCAGGCGTCCGGCGACCAGGTGTGGCTGTCTGATCCGTCCTGGGTTGCAGCTCCTGCGAGGCCCGTGTCTCCGGCTGCGGGGCTCCCCGTCCTGGGAGTCTTCCTCTCACACGGCCGCGCCGCCTGGCCCGTGTCCCGCCTGCCTGGCAGTGACAGCCAACCACGGTTGTCCTGAGCCCCTGCCCCATGGCAGGCAGTCTGAGTGCCCCACGCCCGGGGCCGCAGCCTCACGGTGGCAGCAC